CACTACCTCATGATGTCTTTCTAATAGGATCACTCAACAATGACATCTGCCAGGGCTGACTACCTGTTATCCCAAAAACAAAATATAACTTTTCAATGAAGTTTTTTTATGACTAAATTAATTTGTTGACAGTAGTGAAATAATGAGTTTTGACTTTCTAATATTAAATATCTCAACACAAAGGCATCCACAACAGTGGTGATACCTGAAACAAAAAAGGAAGACCTCCCCTCAAAATACTACTAGTAAATATATTCCATAGAAAAGATCAAAAAGTTTGATGATTGTGACAAATTCTGAACACGTAGCAGGGAAGAAGCAGCATTTTAGTGCAAGAAACACTTTGCCCTTTTTAAAGAATAAGTTGCTAATGCTTTTTTACAAAAGCAAAAAACAAAAAAGACCCTCCCCGTTCTCACCCTAAGCTGTTCTGTATAAATTTCTCATCTCAATATATGATGGGACTATATCACCTATCAGAACACACATCCTAAATATCTAGGGTACCTGTTTGTTTCTGTAATACGAAATGCTACTATTTTCTACTTGGGAAGTGCTCAGAACAGAAAGCTGTTTCATGTTTTAGCTTGACACCCTATCCGTGCCTCCTATTCCATCCATGCCTCCTAACTAACCACAATACTTCAGCCGCATGACAAATTGAGCTCCATTCCATGAAAACATAAGCCATTTCCATGTTTTAAACTGACATATCATGGTTAGAAAGGAGACATTGTACCAACCAGCAAAGTATATTTTGAATGTGCATAAGTGAATTAAATAAATAAATAAAATTCCTTCTGTACATTGCAACTACACTTGTTAGTTGGCAGAGTATCTCCTTTCTAACCATGATATGCCAATGTGAGAAACAGAAATGACTAGTGTTCTTCATAATCTGATCAAACTGAGAATAATTTGCTAGAACTTTGGCCATAACACATTTCTTAGACTTTAAGGTGCCATAAAATAATTTGATGTTTCTTGCTGTAAATAAATAAATAAATAAATGACCAACACTGCTACTCTGGAAATGATTTGTGCTCCCTACTCTGATTTCATTTGTTCTAGAATTCTTTTGCTATAATTTTTAATTTTTTGGAACAGTTTCAAAGTTTTAAATTATAACCTGCCCATCACAAAAATATTTTTATAGAGAATAAGGTTTCTATAGAATAAGACACTTTGCTTACTCCTACTCTGTGTTCCCTAATGTTTCCCTACTCCTTGAACCAATTTGTAAGCTGCAAATATCCCTTTTGAGGGCAATGAGATAGAATTGATTAACTTGCATCTTACAACATTGACATTTTTGTTTAAAAGATACAGTTCCTTGGTGCAAGACTTAGAATACTTTGAAAAACTAGTGGTTTATGAAAACATACCTTTCAGAAGAATTGTGCCTTGTATCATGAAGTTTGCCACCCAGATTGAGAAGAGAAGGGAGACAATTCCACAATGGAATGCCATTGTTGGTAACACCAAAGGAGAGAGAGAGATCCAGGCCAGATTGCTGCTCTTCCTGCAACGTTGAGAATAGAGTGTGATGCTAAATCGCTCCTTGAACAGTTCCAATGTGTCCTTTCCTCATGAGTTGCTAAACAGCCACTGACTATTTTACAAGCAGGGCTGAACTTGTTGCTCAGTTCAAAAGCCATTCACTGACCAAAGTCACTATCCGGAAACATGTGACACCTCCCCCCCCCAAACTGTCATGGGCAGTCTGGAAAATACAATGAGTGCTGACTCAGAAAACATGCATCTGAGGAAGAGAGATAACATAGTGTAATACTCTTATTCTTATAAACAGTGGGAAATTTTCCCAGTGTACCTCAGGTGCTCATTCTGCAATTAGTTCCTGTTTAGTCAGTTGCAATTTTCTCATCCTTCATCCGACTCGTGCAGCTTTTTCTCACAAGAAAAAGACTTAACGTGGTTTGGCTACCGCTGAACAGAGACACTGAAACATGAGTTCTAAATTACTTTCTAAAATGGATGTTGGGTTGAAAGATGAATTTAATGACTCATGGAATGTCTATTCCCATATGTACTGTACCTTCTTGGGCCTTATGATGCCCCAGCAAAATGAGGCAATTGGGTTGCTACTCCAGAAAAGATCTTTCTGAGCACGCAATACTCTCCAGAAAGGCTTGCCTGATACCTACATTATAATCTTTTCAGTGTGAGATGAAAATCTATTTTTGTTTAAATAGTGCATTTCCTTTTTGCTGTTACTTTTATTCTGGATGTATTCTGTGCTGTTGTATTTTTATCTCCATTTGTATGCACTTTACAAAAGTGGCTGTTAGGAGATCTCCAATTCTTGAGTCAAACTCAGCTCCTAGGACAGTGGTTCTTAAACCGTTTGACCCAATTACCCCCTTTTCCAGTCTTGAATAATGTTATTACCCCCCCCCCACACACACACACAAAACAGACTGTTGTTTTACACAAGCATCTCAGCAGCAGTCCCAAACTGGATCCTCAACTTATAAACAAGAGATTAAAAATGGTTCCTTTTACCCCCAGGATATGCCCAAATTATCCCCAGTCCACTGTCCTGGAGCCTACATGAATATGTCCATGGAGTTGTCTTGGCAAGAATATGGAAGTGGTTTTCCATTGCCTGATGCTGGAAGTCTTTTTGACTTTCCGGCCTAGCCTACTAGTGGTTCTCCATCCCACTACTAACCAGGAAAAACTCTGCTTACCTTTTTCTGGATCAGCCAAGGTCAACTAGGCGCGCTATCTACTGAGACAGAAAATGTAAATAAGAAACTTTAAAACGGATGGGAAAATTGTAGTTTTCTAGATGATACTAAATGGCGATTTCCAGCAGCCATAGCTTGCAAGACCAATGAGGATGGATATTGACTGTGGTGTGGGTGGGGAAATGTCAGGATACTCTAAACCAACATCCCCTGATCTAGTGAATACCAGATGTGTATGCTACAATTCTTGCTCTTTCCCATCATAGAAGATGGTCTTTGGTTTTGTTTTTTTGCAGAAAGGACTGTCAATTGTGCAAATATAAGAAAAGGGAAAATATATCCTTAGGAAACTGCAATGAGGATACACTTGTAAGACCACAAGACAGACCTTTTTTGGTGGTTCCTCCCAGACTTAAGTAGTCCCCAAACAAGACAGGTCACCAATCTCTTGCCCTCAAGAGTCCAAAATCATTTTTACTTAGGCTGAGCTTTTAATTTCCCAAGTGCCATCTGTTTTAACATCCTATTTGTTATCAATAGAATTTTATATTTTTAAACTATATTTTAATTAACATGTAAGGAATGGTTAGACTGACTGCCGGTTTTGCTTCTGTACCTCAAGCTTCTGCTGACATAGGAAGGTTAGTTAAAGAAACTGGGAATGCTTTAGCAGCTAGGAATCTTCTAAAAGTTATAAGGTGCAAATAAAAAGCTTTTGCTGAATGCTAAAGGAACAAGTTTGCAGAAGTACGAAAGGAAATGGAAAGATGTGGTTAAACTAATGTCTCACTTTCGAGCTCCTGGATGCATTTCCTGAGCATGCATGAACCTTTGCCCTACTCTTGTTTGTAACCACATCCTCTGCAACAAGTTAGTTTTCTTAGCCAACACTTTAGAGATGCTTTACCCCGGTAGCAAATGAGAACTAGAAACTTAACTATGGTTTAATGTTTTGACAACCTTGGAAGGTGGGCACACGTGTGTGTGTGTGTGTGTGTGTCCCTCCTCCTAGATGCTTCCTGATGACAAAAAGGTATAAAAGCTGTTGTAAACTGTTCTAGGTGTGGCCGTTCTCTGTCTTTTTTCTGCCAGCCGGACAGAGAGTGGTTCACCCTGCTTTTCTCTTGGCCAACAATAAAAGCTGAACTTTCTTTGGAAAAAACTTGGTCTGGAGTCTCATTGGAAAGTATGGAATCCAGGCTAGTGGACCTTACAAACGTTTCTGTCATCTTTTGGTAGACAGTGTGTTCAATAAATTGCAGTTTAAAAAATCAGTTTTATGTTCCTACAGCCAGAATGTCTGTTCTCCACACTACACTCCTCAGCCACATTCTAAAACTGGGCAATTCTATCAACTTTGATTATCACAATTTGACACCACCTTGTAGTTTAGGACTGGGGAAACCATGCCTCCGGGTGTTATTAAGCTACAAACCCCAGCATCTCTCATCGTTCTAGCTGGGGCTACTGGGAGTTGTAATAAGCAACATTTAATCACAGATTTACCATCCTTCATGTAGCCAAATATGATTAGTGAAAGTATTTTTCACTATAGTAGGAACTGAGAGTGGTGTTTGCTCAATTTTGACCTCTGTTCCAAAATTGCTTTAGGTACTGTGCATCCTGTGGGTGGAGGCACCACTTGCTTTGCCTCAGACAGCAAAATGTTCTTCGCCAGCCCTGTCTAGAAATTATACAAAATGCCTTCAAAGCACAAAGGAAATCTTAAAATGAATAATCATCATTTTTTGCTTCCTTGTTGGTTTACAGGCAAGACTCCTATCTATGAAACCAGAACAATTGTGAACTTCAGTGTTTTATTCTGTACTAATAAAAGCAAAATCTGGCAGAATAAAAATCTTACTACTGTTCATACTAAAATTTATTCTCTAGAGGAATTGCTAGTATACGCATACAAACAAAATGTATAAATCAAATTTGAGTAACACAGAAGATTCTGAAACAATATTTTTATTTCCAAATCTCAAGTATGTGATGCTATACAGTACAATACTAGCACACCTGTGCAAAGTCTTACAGGATTTAAACAACAGATAGTGACTCTTGAATTCCTCCTACTTAAAAACATCAGTGCTGTGCACAAGAAACAAATGTGTCTTGTTAAAGCCAAATAAATAAATATTGCACTTCAGGAAAAAAAAATCCAACCAACCAGACCTTGAAACAGCACCTGGCAAATGGAGTAAGATGATCTACTCTCAGTAGGTGTATAAATCCTATGAATTTGAAAATATACAAATGTCTATGTTATGATACTGTGACGAAACAAAGGCTCTGGTTTTTAAAAATTATTTTTCAGAAAAAATGGTTATTGATTTCTTTTTCAAGCTGCCAATAACCATTAATGAGCCATTATTAAACATTATAATTATAGGTGACTTCAAATCCTATTTATGAAAAAGTAATGGTCTGGATAAAAAGAACTATTTATCTCAGTACTTTGTTTTGCAAAGTCATTAATTCATCTTGAATATAATATTCCACTCTCTAGGATGAATTAATTGTTCACCATTGCTTTGAGTTTTTTATTAGCCCATTAATTCCTAATTTCTTGGTTGAATATAAGAGTAAGTATGCTTAACATTTTGTGTATGAAGCATTTCAATACCTTTTTTTCTTACACTAGAATGAAAACTGTCTTGTAGCTACTTATTGTGAAGTTACTTGATTCAAAAGGCAACCGTTGATTTGATTCCTTAGACTCTTTCTTTCCCCCTTCCAGTTTGACAGCAAATGATACACATTCTCACTAGCCTTACTGAACATGCTCAATACCATTATTTCATCCACCCAGAGCCATTTAGAGATTTATGCAATGCTAAAAATATACACACGGTTGTGTTGAGCATCAGCGGGAGCCACTTCACTTATTACTCAAAACTACTTAACATAAAACATGCAAATTATCCCTGGGAAAAGCTTCTATTTCAAACAATTTCACATCTATTTCCTGCTTGTTATATTGAAAGACAGCTGACCAGTAACCTGGGGCAAAATTTCACCATAGGCTCTGTGTCATTGTGCTTCTCAAGGCACAGAACAGAGCGGGGGACTTTTTTCCCAAATAGAATCTGCACTTTGTGATGTGCTTCAGCCTGAAGGCTGCAGGAACATTCTGATGATATTGTGGGTGACAGGGCCAAATGTTTTCTGTCCAATTATCTGTTTTTCCAAATTTGGAAAATTTGAAGGTACAAAATAAGTACTTTAAGCCTTATAGAGGTTTGACATACCCATTAAGCAGCTTTGGGGGCAAAACAAAGCCCCCCCCCCCCGGCAATGCTGCTAGAACTTGCCTGTTTTTTCATTCTGGATTGGTGGCACCATCTGGGGGATTCTGGGGATTGCAAGCTGCATACTAGCCTTGGACCACAGGTCACTCATCCTGAGGTAGAACAGAACCTCACTTACACATACACTTCAAGGAAAAGTTCATATCCTGTGTTTGTCAGATAGTCCCTTTCAAACACCCAAGAATGCCAAATAAAATTGGGAGAAAGGCTAATCTAGTGTGATCTCAGCATACATCATGCTTTTGCCAAGAAATAACTTTATGAATAGTAAAAATATATTCTGGGGGCTGTTTGCATTCCGGTAGCTGAAATGAACCAGAAAGGAATGCCTGAACCGCAGCCATTCTTTCACCCTGATCTTAAGCAGTTCTATTTGGAAGCAAATCCTGCTATCCGGTTGACTTTTATTTATGTGAGCTTATGCTTGCAGTTTGTTATCTCCTAACTTGAATTGTGTCAGGAAATCTATTTATATCTTCAAGAACAAAAACCCTCTATTCTGATTCCAAGGAGCAGAAGGCATATACCGCACAGCATCTTCTGCCAACTTACTAGGAGGCTTTCTTTCATTCCAAACATTTAGTTTTAATTGTATATGTTCATTACAGAATGTGAAAGAGTTCTGCTGTTGGGGTGTTAACAGCATTTTCATACATAATAATCATGATTTTTAAAAAATCAGAAACAAACGTCAGCCTGATGTGTATATAATGATAAGCCATAATAGGCGGGCTCATTGATCATACTAAGCCAAAGCCAAATCAAATCATGGCCTAGTTTTTTGTGGGAAAAAGACCTTGGATAAACAGAGGTTCACCAGGAGAAAGAGAATGAAGATTATGCAAATTTTCACATTCTTCCTGAAAAACACTTTCTTAAGCTACTTTAGTTTGGGTTTAAGATCTTAGCTGCTACTTTGCTGTTCTGAAGGAACAAAAATGGGGGAGGAAATATTAAGTACTTTATTCAATTGATTAGTACCTTGTAAGAGTGTTCCAATTTGTCATTTAAAGCTCACAGATCCTTGCCTTGCTCACCCTCACACTTCATGTGAAATATAGTTCTTCAAGGTTGCTGTACTTATAAGGCAATTGTTCTACAAACTGTGATACGTGCAACATATTGACTGGGTTCACAAATGCTCTAAGCAAAATTTGATTTGTTTTCATCTTAGCATATCGTGTATGCTAAGTTAGTATACGTGATTATTATGTTTGAAAATGCTGTTCACACCTCAACAGCAGAACTCTTTCACATTAGTACTAACCAAAAAGTGACTTGGTTAGTAAATCACTTTGGGGCAGAAGTGTGCAAATCCTGCTGACTGTGGTTTATTCAATAAAGTATAATAAAATAAATATGGCTTAGTATGATCTGTGAACCTAACCATTGCTACGACACTATTTCATCTTACTGGAACATGGTAGAACTTTATGTATGTAGTTCTTGTAAGGTTTCATCTTAAAAAAAGAATAACAAAAACACATGCTTCCAGTCTATATTTCACCTATTTTTGTGGTGAGGGTAGCAAGGGACTTGTCTCATAAGTATGGAATCTGCTCGTAACCAACGTATCAGTATTTTGCAGTTTTACCATTAGTTCATCCCTATAATTGTGAAGTCAAATGCAGATCTCTAAGATGTTATTGAACAGTGCCAAACTGAAATGTATAGGAAGAATTAATGCTGACATTTATATAGCAGGAAGGCTGTTGTGACATTCTTTAGAAGGACTGGAATTTATATTCCACTGAGGAACTTCTCTATCCCAGTTTTTGATCAACTGCTATCTTTGTATTTCCCATATAATTATTCTGCTACTCAGGCACATCATTCAAATAACAATTACCATAACAGAGAAAACAGATTTATTGGCTGGTGCGTCTGGTTAATTAAAAATCACAATGCATTCACAAAACTGATGACAGAAAAGAAATGAAGCAGTGGGTTAATGACTACATTTAACCACCACGGGAGTGACAGTACTCTGCTTTGTTCATCTCAAGTTTCAAAATAGGTGCTTCCTGGTGTCTCATCAATGGCTTTTTCCCCCAGGCATGATTTTGTTACTCTGTGCACTGGTCATGTTGTAGTCCTGAATTCCCCCAAGAATACTGATGGGCAGCAGAACAGGCAGGTTTCACTTGGGGTCCATCTGACCCCTCCGTATAGGAGAAGAAGTAATTGTATAAACTGGAGGTCCCCAGCACTATTGCAAAAATTATAATAATGGCTGCTACAATCCAGAGCACATTCCAGTGTTTATGCAGTTTGGGATACAGTATCTGTACATAATGGATAACAACTTCAAGTTTGCTGTAAAATTGAAAAAAAAAAGTAAATAAAAAAAAAATAAAGTGAGTTTTTTGGAAACATTCAGAATCATAGGTTTCTACTACCTGCAATGTTACCATCTCCTTTAAGACTCAGACCTAGCAATATACATGATTTATTAGGTCCTGTGCTGAATATGAAAGCTAGGGTGGCCCCTGTTATGGCAGCATTTATTCTGGTTTATCCATTTGGATTTTCTTGTTTGTTCCAATCTAAGAAATTATGTAGTACATGAGTCTCTTTTGGAGGAAAAGTTTGTATTGATAGCATTAGAAAGAAGAAGAAAGTAGCAATTTGTACAGCAAGTACAGAATCAGCACACAATCAAAAGTTGTTGTTGTTATTACAATTTCAAGGCCACCCAAGTTCTCAATGACTCTGGTCAGTTTATAATTAAAAAGAAAAAAAAAGCCCAACATATATAAAAAAAACAAAGCCAACCGGAAGGCTAACACAATATCACAAAAACCATCTGATCCCAAGGCCTACGAGAATGACCAAGTTTTTAATAGTTTTCAGAAAGTCATTAAAGTGGGAGCAAAATGGATCTCTGAGGGGATGTTATTCCAGAGACCAGGCACTGCCTCCAAGAGGCATATTTCCTGGATCTTGCAGAATGACTTGAAGTGTGCCTAATCTGCCTGACTTCACTAGATGGATGGAAACGTTCAGAGACAAGTGGTCTGTCAAGTAGCCAAGCCCTATGGCAGCCAGTGCAGCTTGCAAAGAAGTGGAAATATGTAAGCATACCCTGACACACCCATCACTGCCCACACTACCAGATTTTGGACCAGCTGTAGCTTCCTAAGTGGTCATCAAAGGCATCCCATTTAGAGTGCATTACAGTATTCCAATGAGGTGACCAAGGTATGAGTGACTGACTGAAGGGTCTCACAGTCCAGGAACAGGGGCAACTGGTACACAAGCAGAGCCATGAGTCCAAGAAACCCCCCAGATTGTACATAAGTCTCATACGGGGGAGTGCAACCCCATCAAAGACTAAAGTTGGAATATCCCCAGAACCAGGATGACCAAACAAACAGAGCCACTCAGTCTTGTCAGGAATGACCCTGAGTCAGTTCCTCCCTATCCAGTCCCATGCAGCCTCCAAACACTAGGCCAGGACTTTGACAGCATCACTTAGCCTGGGGTCAAGATGTACCATCTTGTATCATCAGCATATTGATGTATCATCAGCATATTGATGATACCTGACCCCACACCAATGGATGACCTCACTCAGCAGTTTCTTGTAGATGTAACAAGGGGGGAGAGAATGTCAAGCCCTGTGGCAATTTACCATTAAGGGGCTGCAGGCATGATCTCTCATTCATATCAACGCTGACTGAATCCAGACACAGAGAAAGAAGAACCACAAAATGGTGCCTCCCACTCCTAACCCCTGAAGCTGATCCAAAAGGATACCATGATTGATGGTTCAAAAGCCACTGAGAGATCAAGGAACATTAGGATGGATACACCACCCTCATTCCGACTCCATCACAGGCTATCGATAAGTTTGACCAATGCTGTCTCCATACTAAATCCTGGCCTAAAACCTGACAGAAACAGATCATCTGTTTCCTCCAGGGTCCTCTGGAGCTGAAGCCTGACCACTTCCTCTACCACTTTCCTTAAAAAATGGAGGTTGGAGACTTGATGGAAATTAACCAGGATGGTTGGATCCAGCAGTGGCCTCTTAAGGAGAGAGTACACTATAGCCACCTTCATGGATGAGGAAACCACTCCCAACTCTGAGTGGGTCCAGGCAACTTTATCTGCCAGATAGTGAGAATATTCCTCACACCAGTCCTGTGACTCATCCCTCCCCAGCAGGGACTGGGTCACCTTAAACAGGCCCACTGGGTGGGTATTGGCAGAAACAATAAGGGCAGAGTAATAGTTTTGTTTTGTGTTGTTGTCCTTATCTCCATGACGTAAGCCCTAATATGGGTTCTTACACATGTTTGGCTGGATCCACGCTTTGCCTTTCCCCAATGACACTCTAGACCTTTCTTATTGTGCTTCATCTCCTGGAGCACCTCAGAAGAACAAGGTGCATCCCAGGTTAAAGCTAGAAGAGAATCACTCTATGTTCTATAAAATAATCCAATGTTTTCATTAAATTTGATTTCTCTTCACAATTATACCAACTCAAAGTTACAGTAAGAAGGCTAGAAGTACAGTTCTGATTTATTCACTATTGCATTCACATATAATTTTTCAAGGTCTTCTAATTCTAAATTAGTTTGTAATGAAAAGGCAAGACTACAAAAGCCAGAATGACTTGTTTCTCTTTCTTTTTTACTTATAAAACATAAATACCATAAGTTACGTTCAAAGGCATTAAATCTCATCAAGTGTGGAACACCCTTTATCTCTATGGCTTTATAACCATTTTCTTTACTGATTTATACTAAACAAATGGAATGCCAGACTGAAACCATTTAAAAGAATTCTGACAACATAGGGATTAACTTCATATACACATCCCTCCTCACCATGAACTGAAAGTTTTCTCAGAATTTTTCTAACAGTGTTTGACCTAGAATCATGCATTTCTTCTTCAGGAATGCCCCTTGTACCAAATCTTTTTTTAAGCATCCTGGGACTTAAAAACAGATTAATGATCTGGCAAAAGGAATTAGCCTGCCTCTGTCACACAGAACTTAATATGTGTAAATTTCTGCAACGTTTATGCCAAGCCTCCAGTTTTACAAATGCAAAGGAGGACTGGCATGTTCTTTGTTTTGGATTTTAAAAGAGAGGTGACATAAAGGAAACAATCTACTTTGATAATGATCAGGATCTACCCAACTGTTGGACATTCCCTGTAGGAATACCTATTTAATCAGAAAAATTAACAGTCTCTTTTACATTATGAATAAAGCAATGTTTTTACCTCTGTGGCTTGCTAATCTTATCATCAGTTTCCATGGCCAAAAATCCCTTGGGCTTTTCAGGCATTTTCTCTTCATTGTCCTCTTTCAGCTCTTCACTTTCCTTGGTTTTCTTTAGGCCTTCTTGATAGCTGTAAGTATAGATTCATGATCAGATCAGAGTTGAGTGAATCACCCTGAAATTAATGGCTTGACTGATTGGGGAGGGGCAGTTCAGATCATTCCTAAAAGGACTAAAAGGAGACAATTTGGAAATTTTCAGGGGTAAGGAAACATTCTGATGAACCTGTTAGACCTCCCTAATTTTCTAAAACTTATATAACTATAGCTAGTACATTACTAGTGCCATCGAAGTTGAACACAGCCTGGGAAACCAGAGTTCAGTTCAGTTCTATTCTTTTGTGCCACCAAATCCATTGTTAAAAAAACAAAAAAAGACTACTGAGGAGCAGAACCAATCTCTTAATTATACTATGTGTGACTTCTGTTTTAGCGCCCCCCCCCCCGCAAACTGCATTCATGTTGACTTCCAGAACATTGGAATTCCTGGTATATGAAAGTCTATATAACCAATTTTCCTGCTGTATATATTCATTCCTAATGTATGGATTTGTGGACCAGAATAAAGAACTGTACAACTTCAGGGACAAAAGCAGCTGTGAGCTTCCGTTCACTTTGATCCACTTTGATCATGTCTGCAGCCAGAATACTGTATCATTAATGTGAGAAGAATCTAACCTGAGAGTCTGGGGTTGAAGAAACTACTTTTAAAATATGTTTCACCTATCTAAATTAAAAATTTGAATTTTTCTCAACTATCTGAATAATATTTCATACTAACAGAAAAAAAAAAACTAGTAAGTTCTGAAATTTGCTTCCCGAATACACAAAAATAGACACCCCCCCCAAAAAAGTCATCATCACTTGGTTTGTAGCCACCTTAAACATGGAACTCAGATTCTTACTCCTGGTTAAGACTCTCCACTCAAATACCCACTTGAAAATGTGTACAGGTGTAAATGGTCCTCTAACTCAGAGTATACCTACCCATAAAGGTGTTAGGGTTGTATTCTAGCCCCAACGCTTTTTAACCTCTATGTCAACAATATTCCAGGATTCCTGTATGCTTTAGACACTCATATGCCAAAGATCCATGATAAATTTATTAATATTCTTTTATATGCTGACAATATAGTTCTAATAGCATATTCTCAGATAGGCCTGAGAAGACTGTTGCAAAAGCTAAATATCTATTGCGTTCTCAGTTCTCTAAACTTCAATAAAATCAAATCTAAAGTGATGGTATTTAGCAAAAAAGTGTGAAATATAACTGGCAGCTGGATGGGGAGCCTATTGAACAAATGAATTCTTTCACCTATTTAGGAGTAGCCTTTAACAGCACAGGGTCATGGGCAAATAATTTTAAAAGAAACTTGGTGAGGGCTGAGGCAAGAACCAAAAAAAAAAAAAATCTAAATTATTTAATTACAATTACCAAGGTACCTTGACCCCCATATTGAAAATATTTAGGGCAAAAATAGTCCCCATTTTGACCTATGGTACAGAATTGTGGAGCCTTACAAAACCTACCTCACTTGAACAAGTTCAGACCCATTTTGTAAGAACCATCCTGGGAACTGAAAAAAAACACGTCAGCCCCCGTGATCAGAGCAAAAACAGGCATCCACTCCATACACAACCACTCAATAATTAAAGTTTTCACCTATTGGCAGAGGATCTATTTAATGGACTCTGATAGGCTACCCAAAATATGTTTTGCTGAACAAACAAGCATGGCTCAGCCCACCTCTTGGATAAGTCAACTTACCAAAGTTATTTTACAGCATGGGTTTTCCACCCAATATTTAATCTCAACTGCCTCCCAGGCAAAGGAAATTTTTAAACAGAGTCTTAGGTATCAGTGCCCAAGCAGACATGGAGCTATTGGCAAAAAATAGATCTTTAAATTGGTTTAAACCACTTTCCAAACCCAAAAATACTTGTCAGTGAGTTTGATGAAGGGCCTATTCTAGAGCAAGGTTTGAGTTGTTGGATTCCATGGCTAGATATGACTGCTTCCAGCATTTGCCGTATCATGAGAGGACGTGTATATGCAGTGCCCCAGCCGTCAAAGATATTGCTCGTGTTTTGTTTGATTGTCAACTGTATGACCCTTTTAGGCGTAGATATTTAACATCCCTACTTGAAAGAACAGCCCACTGGGACCCGAATTGCAGATTGTCCTATTTCCTCCTGGGCTCTAATGTATACATCGTTAACAGAACTGCTAAGTTTATACACAAGGCAGTTCAGCTAAGAATCCATTATATTGAACAGATTGGGGTATCATGTAAAGGTGATGTATTTATCTGAACGTTGATTCTTTGTATTTAGCACATATGTATTTTATTATTATATTTTCTTTTACCTGTTTTATCCTGGAAATAGACCATGCATTTTACTTTTATTTTATTTTATTTGATATGGTCATAAAACGAATCAATCAATAAACTATCTATCACTTGGTTTGCCTTGGTAAATATGAAACAACAAAAAGTAAACCAGATGGGACACAGATATCCTCATATACCATACATCATGAGAAATGGGCGTATGAGAAAGCAAAAGCATGGACCTTGATTCCCATGCAGTAATGGCTAAATGAAAGATCTTGAAGCCAAGCCCTTACTAGACTATCACATTTGTTATCTCTTCCATGGGATACAAAATGAATTGTACGGACAATTTACTGGTGACAGCTACAGGTGAAACTCAAAAAATTAGAATATCGTGCAAATGTTCATTTATGTCAGTATGGCAACTCAAAAGGTGAAAC